CTGGAGTCTGGGGCTCGATCCCGCGGATACGCCTTCGCACGGGCACGCTCCGCGCGGGGCATCCGCGGAAAAGGGCCCCGTGTCCGCGGGGCCTCGGCGCAGGGGCTCGGCCCGCGAGGCCGCGGATGCGGACGTGATCTTCGCCCACGAGCTCTGCAGAGGGCGCCGTTTGCTTGGGAGGCAGCTGCCGGGAGGTCTTCGTGAGAACCAGTAAGGGCGGCTGAACCCGATCAGGGGGCCATTGTGCCAGGTGAGGCCAGATGACGCCCGGAATTGAGCCGGACCCAGCTGTACTAGGCCTGATACAACCCAACTATCCCGACGCAAGCCATACTATGCGGGACTATGCCGGATCATGCTGGTTCTCGACCACAGAGATACCAGCGCCGAATCGGAATTTAACATGCAAGGAGTTGCGTGCTAGCCGCTAGCCTGGAGGGTCGATCAGCGCAAAGATTACACTGACCAGCAAAGAGTTGCGCCTTAAGTAATCAACGTACAATCAAAGTTCGAGTGACAAATACACAGGTAAACTGTAAGATGGTGCGTTAGCGAATCAACATATTGTAGTATATAGTTCCAGCCAGTGAGCGAGCGTTTAAGTTACCACGTTAAGCTATACATCTGTACCTCTATGAGGTGACGATTGCGGTAGAATGTGCGGCCCATCTATTTCAGACATATGATCAGCCCGTAGGGGTCAATGATTTTCACCCCCTCATGCTCCTCCTGCTCCTCCTGTTCCTCCTCCTCCTCCTCCTCCTCATCATCATCATCCTTCTTCTCCTCCTCCTCCTCCTCATTCTTCTTCGGCAGGCTACTGGGCGCGCACACCCGAAGCGTCAGCCTCCTCCTCCTCCTCCTCCTCCTCCTCCTCCTCCTCCTCCGCCCCCGCATCAACATCTTCAGCGCCATCAGCACCACCAAAATCTCCAATTGCTCCTAATGCACCCGGAAGCCAGAACCTCAAGACAGAACGCCATCCGAGAGGTACGGCCACGAAGAAGAACGGGAGGAGGCGCCGCCGGACTCGCACAACAAACCTCTTGGGTCGTCAAGGGTTCTTGGAGCTCGCTTGGGCTTTTCGGGTCTCTAATCCCACCAGCCCTTTGGGCGACAGGTGGTCTAAGAAGGGTCTCTTTCCTCTTCCACAACCCCTCTTCCCTCCGGGGAGGGGAACCCTCCCCCTCCCCTCCCCGAGGTTTTTTAGGAGGGGGTCGCGACGAGTTAGAGCGTGCTTTCTGCCCCTGGGAGGACCAATGTTTGACACCCCATCACGAGGGTTCTTGGAGCTCGCTTGGGCTCTTCGGGCCTCTAATTGTTTAGAGTTACAAGAGTTTCAGAACTCCGCAGAATGCGTATTCGAAACACAACATAAGGAAACATAAAATGCAAAAAATTGGCTGAGGACAAGAAAGCAGAACAATCATGAATGATGATAATGACGCACATCTGCGCACTGGCAGATCTGTTATCTGGCAAGCATTGTTGGAGCAGTCTTGGGGTCCTCTTGGCCTGGCTCGAAGCCCTCTTGGGAGCCTCTTGGGCCGCCTTGGGGCGATCTCGCAGGCTTCTTGGGCTGTCTTGGACGCTGCTACGACACAGAAAGCGAAGATGCTACACATGCACGTATGCCTTGAGGAATGGAGCGATGTTTGTTTCTTGGGGGCTCTCCTGAAGGCCTCTTGGGGCGTCTTTCGGGCCTTTTGGGCCGTCTTGGGTGCGCCTCTTGGGCCGTCTGAAGGCCGTCTGACGCTGCGGTGGGGCTCTCCTGCGCCTCTCCGGCCACTGTTCTGATCGCTTTGGGCTTGCTGGCAAGGCCCGGCAGGGCGCCCCGGGAGGCGCGGCAGGGCGGGGGGGACTCTTCCGAGGGCGTCCAGGGATCCCAGCCTCCAAATACTGGAGGTCCGGTCTCTTGTCGAGGGGTGACGGCTTTTCCCGCCCCCCCGGCTTACAAAAATATGAAAAAGAGGAATATACCTATACAACCACCCTTCGGGTGATGCGGGGTTCGGGGGAGAGGGGGAACCAACGTCTCAACAGATCGACCTCACGTCGATCAAAATCTCGATCTCACAATCGATCTCACAATCGATCTCACAGTCGATCTCACGACCGATCTCACAATAAATCTCACGATCGATCTCACAGTCGATCTCACAGTCGGTTCGACTATCGAACTCACTATCAATCTCACAAGAGATCTCACGATCGATCTCACAACAGATCTCAATCTCGATGTCACCATCGATCTGACAATAGACCTCACGATCGATCTCACATTCTGACGCACTATCGATATCACTATCGGTCTCACAATCGATCTCACAACCGATCTCACGATCGATCTCACGATCGTTCTCAGATTGATATCACTGTCGACCCCACTTTGGATCTCACGATCAATCTCTCACTAGATCTCACAACAAATCTCACTATTCACATCACAACATACTTCACGATCGATCTCACACCGGATCTCACAATCGAGCTCACAAGCGATCTCACAATCCGCCCCGCTATCGATATCACATCAGACCTCACAATCGACTTGACAATCGATCTCCCAATCGGTCTCACCATCGATCTGACAATCGAACTCACTATCAATCGCACATGCGGACTCACTATCCATCTCGCCATCTATCACTATTGGTCTCACGATCGGTCTCACAATCGACCTCACGATCGATCTCAGTATCGACCTCACTGCCGATCCCACTATAGATCTCACGAGCGATCCCACCATCGATCTCACAACAGATCCCACGAGCGATCTCACACAACAGATCCCACTATCAACCTCACAGCAGATCTCCCTAGCGATCTCACAAGAGATCCCAGGATCGATCTCACCGTCGACCTCACCGCCGCGCCACCGACGGGCCAGCCCGCGCCACCGACGGGACACCCCCGCGCCCCCGACGGGACACCGCCGCGCCACCGACGGGACACCGACGGGACACCGCTGCGCCAACGACGGGACACCCCTGGCCACCGCGCGCTGGGGCAGGGGGCGGACAAGGGGCCCACAGCCCCTAGCCACGGCGGCATCGTTCCTCTCAGGCGCCGTGCAGCTTCGCCGCGCCCACATGCACAACACGGCACGAAACCGAAACCGATTTCGCGGTGGGGGGGCTCTCCGTCCCACTGCGATCTCACCCCCTCACCTCCGATGCGCATCCATATATATATATATATATACATATATATATATATACATAAATAAAGGGGGAGAGAGAGAGAGAGAGACGTGTGTGTGTGTACGTATACATGTATGTACGCATGGACATGGTCAACGAGCCTGCATTCGTTAAGCTAGCATGTTCAGCTAGCTTGCAATGCTTGAACCAAACATGTTAAGTGGGCTAACAGAGGCTGAACGTCTCGCCGTAATGAATAAGATGTCATGTTAAGCTGGCGTGTCTCAAAATATCCTCAGGCAGGATTGTAACCCGCGCCCTGGGGGGCGGACAAGGGGCCCCGACAGAGCTCTCCGCCGCGCCCAAGCAAGGATTTATCTAGCCTTGGGCGCAGCGGGATCCCCCCCCGAGCCCCAACGGCGAAGATCGCAGCCCGCAGGCCGGCGCAACCACACCCGTTGTAGTCGCCGATCCTCCCGCGCCTGGAAGCGCTTCTCGCAGATGGCCAGGAACGCCCGCAGCTCATCCTCAAGGCTCCGTGTGAATGTGTCGTTCGATCACGGCGCTCTTCCTCGCCCTCGGTCCTCGGGGGCCGCCTTCGGGCCCCGGGGCCCTCAGAAACGGATCGGGCAGGCAACACTGCCCCCCCAGGGGGAAGCGGGCGGGACCCCTGGGGAAGAGGAACCAGCGACACGGACACGAGAACTGTCGGAGGCCCGCGCGCATTCCTCGAAGCGGCCCTGGGCCCTCCCGGCGGCGCCCTCGGCGCCGCCCCTGGCGCGCCCCGCGCGCCAGGGATGGTGGGCCCAGCGCCGATCCAAGGAAGCCGCGCGAACCTCCGCGACAGTTTTTTGCTGATTCGCGGGTCGAGAGCGCACCTCTTCCGGTCGAAGCTAAGCGGGCTGCGCGAAGCTTGAATTAACAAAGAGGGGGGGACAGAAGGAGACAAAAACCTCCGGAAGTTTCTGCCTATGCCGTTTTCTCTTCCCCGACGTCCTCCAGGCGGCCCTCCAGGCCCTGCACGCCCGCCCGCAGCTGCCCCAGCTGCGCCTCCAGCTCCGCGCCGCCCGCGATGCCCGCCGCCGTCGGCGCCGCGGCCGCGTGCACGAAGGTCGGCTGCGCGGCCGCCGCGGCCACCAGGTCGGCTGCGATCGAGGCCGCGGGGTACGCGCCCGCGGGGGGCAGCAAGTGCCGGGGTTCCTCTCGGAGAAGTGCTACGATGTACTGAGGAGCCGTGGATCTGGCGCATGGGCGCCGGATGCGCGGATCGGGGAACTAGCCCCCGCAGCATGGCGCCAGTGCCGCCTGATTCGGCGACGCAGCCCGCATGGTTGACAGCATCCGTCGCTCATCCACGCGCCTTAATCCATGTTTGTTCTCCCTCGATCCTCGAGCGGGCGGTTCAGCACCGCGAGGTTGGCCTCCGTCTGGCGCAGCAGGGTGGCGATGGACCCCACGTCGTAGGAACCCCGCTGCATGGGGGGGGGCGCGCGAGGCACCAGGCGCGCCTCCAGGCCGCGGGCGCGGCAGGGGTACGCCACCCTCGTGGGCCACAGAGGGCTGCATTTTTTGCTGCTCTGCTGCTTTGCCATTGCTGGGGCCAGATCGACGACTCCTGCGCCCCAGATGGGGGGGCACATCGGGGACGCACTGACCTGGGTCAATGCAAACCCAGGTCAGTCAGGTTTTGCAGGATCCTGCAGAATCCTGCAGGATCCTGCACCCCAACCCTGGTCAATGCACCCCTGGCTCTGCAGGATCCTGCCAGATCCAGCGCTCTGGCTGACCGCCGTTTGCACTGACCCCCGTCTCTAGAGCCTCGAGCACAGGCCTGCTGCTGGTAGCCAGCGTGTCTTTTGTTGCTGCTGGTGGCCAGTGTAAACTCAACGAGGCCTGTAGGCAGCTCGGCAGAGAGCTGGGCCGCGAGGGGCTGCTGACGCACCCGTCCAAGGGCGCGGCGCCTCATCCTCCCCCGAGGGGCACACAATGTTCTTGTTCCTGCTCCTCCTCCGCCTCCTCCGCCTCCTCCTCCTCCTCCTCCTCCTCCTCCTCCTCCTCCTCCTCCTCCTCCTCCTCCTCCTCCTCCTCCTCCTCCTCCTGCTCCTCCTCCTCCTCCTCGTCCTCCTCCTCCTCCTGCTCCTTTGCTGATGCACCTGCGATCCGACTCGGGCGGGCCGGTGGCGCGCAAATCGGGTGCCTGGGAGAGGCAGCTGGCCCTCCTCCACTCTCGTGTGCCCGCCTTGCGCCCAAACCGAGCGGCGTCCGACACCAGCTGTGTATCCTCGATCCCCTCCTCCTCCTCCTCCTCCTCCTCCTCCTCCTCCTCCTCCTCCTCCTCCTCCTCCTCCTCTTTCTCCTCCTTCTCCTCCTCCTCCTCCACGGGGTGCGGGCAGCTGTTGCATTCGAACGTGTATGCGCAGCAGCTGCAGCAGTCGAGGTACTCTGGGACTCGCCTCCAGGTACCCCCGCCTCCTCCTCCTCCTCCTCCTCCTCCTCCTCCTCCTCCTCCTCCTCCTCCTCCTCCTCCTCCTCCTCCTCTGCCCGCAGCACTCCCTCCTCCGTCGGAGGTTGGCTGCGCGCCACGTGCGCCACGGCGCCCTGAGCGCCTTATGCGCCTCGCCCGCTCTGGGCTTTCCTGCTTGGTCGCGGATCGCCTATGCCGATTCGTGGTGATCACGGACCTGAGAGGCGATCCACGTCAAATCAGAGGCGATCCACGGCGAGACGGGGGAGGAGGATCACGGCGTGATTCTCCTCCCCCTTCTCCGAGCGGGGCCTGCGATGGACAGATGCCCGTGCGCCTGGGAGAATCCCGTGGCCACAGCTGGGCGCGGCTGCTTCCGGCCGGGTCGAGCTCTGCCCAGCAGGAGCGCGACGCAGAGCAAAAAACGCGCTCGAGAGGGCAAAATGCTGCTCTGGCTCCAGAGCGTCACCCTCTGCCGCCGGCCCCCCTCGGATTCCTTGCACGGCTCCGCTGGATTGCTCAGCTTGTTTGTTGGCCTGTCTGTTGGCTGGCTGGCAACTCGACTTCTTGGCCTTTCGTCTAAAAAAGCAAATGACTGGCAGCTGGCTTGGGCTGGTTGCTGGTTGGTTGGTTGCGCACATCTGCCGCAATTGATGAAGAATGAATGGTATCCTCAGGAGCGCGCTTATGTTGTGATATACGAAGCTAAGCGGCTTCGGGAGCGCGCAACCAATGCAGCGTTGGAAGATTCGCAACCTCCGGTGGGTCTGGGGGCGAAAAGCGCCCGAACACATAATATGTCTTCTGCAGTGGGAAGGGGGATTGCTTTTGGGCAGCCCCCGCGGGGTGGGTTCGCGGCGCCAGGAGCGCAAATCCAGAATGATTACTTCGGAATGTGGCCTTGGGAGCGCAAATTCATAGTATTGCGACGGGGCGTGGCTTCGGGAGCGCAGATTTTGTATAATTCACCATGGATTTGCGGTTCTTGGGCACGATTTGTTTACAAGGGGTTGTGGTGTCGGGGGCGAATGCGCAGTAATGATCAGCACTGTATAATAGGAAATGGCCTCGAGAACGCTAGGGCTACGTAGTTGACGTTGAGTATGACATGGGGGGCGCGAGGGGCGCGAAGGCATCGGAATATGGAAGGGACTGGCCTCGGTAGCTCGAGTGCGACGTACTGTATCAGCGACTGTTGTGTCGGCAGCGCGACTGCATCAGAATTCACAAACGTATTGTGGCCTCGGGGGCGCGCAGGTGATGTGATTCATTAGTGAGGGCGGCTTCTCGCGCGCCAATGCGAAGTAATGTGGAAGGGGTTGTGCCCTCGGGAGAGTGAATGTGCTGTACCTTACAGAGAGCTATGACTCCGAGAGCGCGAAAGCGCAGTAGACTAGTAGAGATTGTGGCTTCGGGGTCGCGACCGAATAATAATTTGTAAGGGGGTGTGGCCTCGGGAGCGCGAGCGCGACGCAATCCCTACACATTTGTTCGTAGGGTTTTGTGTAAATCTTCTGAGGAGCCGGTAGGTGGGCGCGGGAGGATCCAGAATCGGTGGGGCGACGTGGCCTCCCGTGGCCTCCCGTAACCTCCAGTGAAGAGGGTCGCTGGATCCAGAATCGGTTGGGCGACGTGGCCTCTGGTGGCCACCCGTGTAGCTTCAATATTCAAGCAGTAATAAGAGTACTAGTAGTACTAGAAGTAGTAGTAGTAGTAGTAGTAGTAGTAGTAGTAGTAGTAGTAGTAGTAGTAGTAGTAGTAGTAGTAGTAGTAGTGGTGGTGGGTGGGTGGTGGTGGTGGTAGTAGTAGTAGTAGTACGAGTCGTAGTAGTAGTAGTCGTAGTAGTAGTAGTAGTAGTAGTAGTATAGTAGAGTAATAGTAGTAGTAGTAGTAGTAGTTAGTAGTAGTAGTAGTAGTAGTAGTGGTGAGAGTAGTAGTGAGAGTAGTAGTAGTAGTAGCAGCAGCAGTAGTAGCAATAGCAGTTACTAAGTACTAGTATAGTACTAGTACTAGTACTAGTACTAGTACTAGTACTAGTCCTAGTACTAGTACTAGTACTAGTAGTAGTAGTAAGGAGGAGGAGGAGGAGGAGGTGAGTATATTAGTAGTTGTGGTAGTAGAAGTAGTGCTACTAGTAGTCGTAGAAGTAGCAACAGCAGTAGCAGTAGTAGTAGTAGTAGTAGTAGTAGTCGAAGTAGTAGTAGTAGTAGCAGTAGTAGTAGTAGTCGTGAAAGTAATAGTAGTCGTAGTAGTAGTTGTCGAAGTAGTTAAAAAAATAGCAGTAGTAGTAGTAGTAGTAGCAGCAGCAGCAGCAGTAGTAGTAGTAGTAGTAGTAGTGAAAGTAGTAGTAGTCATAGTGGTAGTAGTAGTAGTAGTAGTAGTAGTAATAGTAGTAGTAGTAGTAGTAGCAGTAGTAGTAGTAGGAATATTACAGTATCGTAGTCGTAGTAGCAATAGTAGTAGTTAGTGGTGGTAGTAGTAGTCGTAGCAATAGTAGTAGTAGTGGTAGTAGTAGTAGTAGTAGTAGCAGTAGTAGTAGTAGTGGTAGTAGTCGTAGTAGCAGTATAGTAGTCGTAGTAGTAGTAGTATTAGTAGTAGTAGTAGTAACAGTAGTAGTATTGTAGTAGTGTAGTAGTAGTACTAGTAGTAGTAGTAGTAGTAGTAGTAAGTGAGAGTAGTAGTAGTAGCATTAGTAGTAGTAGTAGAGGTAGTAGAGGTCGCAAAAGTAGTGAAAGTAGTAGTAGTAGTAGTAGTAGTAGTAGTACTACCACTACTACTACTACTACTACTACTACTACTACTACTACTACTACTACTAGTCGTAGTAGTAGTAGTAGTAGCAGCAGTAGCAGTGAAAGATGAAGAAGAAGAAGGAGTAGTAGCAGTAGGAGTAGTAGCCATCGCGAAAGTAGTAGTAGCCGTAGTAGGAAGTAATGGTAGCAGTAGTAGTAGTAGTAGCAGCAGTGGGAGTAGTAGTCTTGATAGTAGTAGTAATAATAATAATAGTAGTAGTAGGAGTCGTAGTAGTAGTAGTAGTGGAAGAAGTAGAAGTAGTTCTAGTACAAGTGGTACTAATAGTAGCAGTAGTAGTAGTAGTAGTAGTAGTAGTAGTAGTAAGAGGAGTAGTAGTAGTAGTGGTAGTAGTGGTAGTCGTGATAGTACTCGCTATAGTGGTAGTAGTAGTAGTAGTAGTAGGAGGAGTAGTAGTAGTAGTAGTAGTAGTGGTGGTGGTGGTGGTAGTAATGGGAGTAGTAGTAGTAGTGGGAGTAGTAGTAGTAGTAGTAGTAGTAATAGTAGTAGTAGTGGTAGTAGTAGTAAGTTATAGTTAGTAGTAGTAGTAGTAGTAGTAGTAGTAGTAGTAGTAGTAGTGGTGGTGGTGGTGGGTGGTGTGGTAGTAGTAGTAGTAGTAGTACGAGTCGTAGTAGTAGTAGTAGTAGTAGTCGTAGTAGTAGTAGTAGTAGTAGTAGTAGTAGCAGTAGTAGTAGTAGTAGTGGTGAGAGTAGTAGTGAGAGTAGTAGTAGTAGTAGTAGCAGCAGCAGTTGTAGCAATAGCAGTACTAATACTAGTACTAGTACTAGTACTAGCACTAGTACTAGTACTAGTAGTAGTAGTAGTAGGAGGAGGAGGAGGAGGAGGTGAAGTACTATTAGTAGCTGTGGTAGTAGAAGTAGTGCTACTAGTAGTCGTAGAAGTAGCAACAGCAGTAGCAGTAGTAGTAGTAGCAGTAGTCGAAGTAGTAGTAGTAGTAGTCGTCGTGAAAGTAATAGTAGTCGTAGTAGTAGTAGTATTAGTAAAAAATAGCAGTAGTAGTAGTAGCAGCAGCAGCAGCAGCAGTAGTAGTAGTAGTAGTAGTGAAAGTAGTAGTAGTCATAGTCGTAGTAGTAGTAGTAGTAAAAGTAGTAGTAGTAGTAGTAGCAGTAGTAGTAGTAAGGATAATAACAGCAATCGTAGTCGTAGTAGCAATAGTAGTAGTAGTAGTGGTGGTAGTAGTAGTCGTAGCAATAGTAGTAGTAGTAGTGGTAGTAGTAGTAGTAGTAGTAGTATCAGTAGTAGTAGTGGTGGTAGCAGTCGTAGTAGCAGTAGTAATAGTCGTAGTAG